GATCTTGATAGGACTAAGCATAATCATCCTATAGGTTCCTGTATGATATTTAGCAAGATCTTCGACAGGATTTTGTAGGATCTTGGAAGGACTAAGTACAATCATCCTATAGGTTCCTGTAAGATCTTAAGCAAGATATTGGACAGGATTTTGTAGGATCTTGGTAAGACTAAGTATAATCATCCTATAGGTTCCTGTAAGATCTTAAGCAGGATCTTGGATAGGATTTTGTAGGATCTTGCAAGAACTAAGTACAATCATCCTATAGGTTCCTGTAAGATCTTAAGCAAGATATTGGGCAGGATTTTGTAGGATCTTTGTAGGACTAAGTATAATCATCCTACAGGTTCCTGTAAGATTTTAAGCAGGATCTTGGACAGGATTTTGTTGGATCTTGGAAGGACTACGTACAATAATCCTTTAGGTTCCTGTAAGATCTTAAGCAGGATCTTAGACAGGATTTTGTAGGATCTTGGACAGACTAAGTACAATCATCCTGTAGTTTCCTGAAAGATCTTAAGCAGGATCTTAGACAGGATTTTGTAGGATCTTGGTAGGACTAAGTAAAATCATCCTACAGGTTCCTGTAAGATTTTAAGGAGGATCTTGGACAGGATTTTGTTGGATCTTGGAAGGACTAGGTACAATAATCCTGTAGGTTCCTGTAAGATCTTAAGCAGGATCTTGGACAGGATTTTGTTGGATCTTGGAAGGACTAAGTACAATAATCCTATAGGTTCCTGTGAGATCTTAAGCAGGATTTTGGAGAGGATTTTGTAGTATTTCTAGTATTTATTGGATTTATTGTATTATATTTTAGTATTATACGTTTTGTAAATAACTCTGTAATTTAGCCATTCTGTATATTGCTGCAATGAGTCTTAATAAACAGTCATTATTATTGTTTTTATATAAGATCTTAAGCAGGGTCTTGGACAGGATTTTGTAGGATCTCGGAAGGACTAAGTACAATCGTCCTATAGGTTCCTGTAAGATCTTAGGGTGGATCTTGGACAAGATTTTATAGGATCTTGATAGGACTAAGGACAATCATTCTATAGGTTCCTGTATGATCTTTAGCAAGATCTTGGACAGGATTTTGTAGGATCTTGGAAGGACTAAGCACAATCATCCTGTAGGTTCCTGTAAGATGTTAAGCAATATCTTGGACAGGATATTGTAGGATCTTAAAGGGCTAAGCACAAAAATCCTATAGGTTCCTGTAGGATCTTAAGCAGGATCTTGGACAGGATTTTGTAGAATCTTTAAGGGGCTAAGTACAATAATCCTATACGTTCCTGTAAGATCTTAAGCAATATTTTGGAGGGGATTTTGTAGGATCTTGGTAGAACTAAGTACAATCATCCTATAGGTTCCTGTAAGATATTAAGCAGGATCTTGGACAGGACTTTGTAGGATCTTGGTAGGTTTAAGTACAATCATCCTATAGGTTCCTATAAGATCTTAAGCAAGAACCTGGACAGGATTTTGTAGGATCTTGGTAGGTTTAAGTACAATCATCCTATAGGTTCCTGTAAGATCTTGAGATGGATGTTGGACAGGATTTTGTAGGATCTTGGAAGGACTAAGCACAATCATCCTATAGGTTCCTGTATGATCTTTAGCAAGATCTTGGACAGGATTTTGTAGGAACTTGGAAGGACTAAGTACGATCATCCTATAGGTTCCTGTAAGATCTTAGGGTGGATCTTGGACAAGATTTTATAGGATCTTGATAGGACTAAGCATAATCATCCTATAGGTTCCTGTATGATCTTTAGCAAGATCTTGGACAGGATTTTGTAGGATCTTGGAAGAACTAAGTAGAATCATCCTATAGGTTCCTGTAAGATCTTAAGCAAGATATTGGACAGGATTTTGTAGGATCTTGGTAGGACTAAGTATAATCATCATATAGGTTCCTGTAAGATCTTAAGCAGGATCTTGGATAGGATTTTGTAGGATCTTGGAAGAACTAAGTACAATCATCCTATAGGTTCCTGTAAGATATTAAGCAGGATCTTGGACAGGATTTTAAATGATCTTGGTAGGTTTAAGTACAATCATCCTATAGGTTCCTATAAGATCTTAAGCAAGAACCTGGACAGGATTTTGTAGGATCTTGGATGGACTAAGCACAATCATCCTATAGGTTCCTTTAATATCTTTACCAGGATCTTGGACAGGATTTTGTAGGATCTTGGTAGGTTTAAGTACAATCATCCTATAGGTTCCTGTAAGATCTTGAGATGGATGTTGGACAGGATTTTGTAGGATCTTGGAAGGACTAAGCACAATCATCCTATAGATTCCTGTAAGATCTTTACCAGGATCTTGGACAGGATTTTGCAGGATCTTGGTAGGTTTAAGTACAATTGTCCTATAGATTCCTGTAAGATCTTAAGCAGGATCTTGGGCAGGATTTGGTGGGATCTTGGAAGGACTAAGTACAATCATCCTATAGGTTCCTGTAAGATCTTAAGCAGGATCTTAGACAGGATTTTGTGGGATCTTGGAAGGACTAAGTACAATCATCCTATAGGTTCCTGTAAGATTTTAAGCAATATCTTGGACAGGATTTTGTAGGATCTTGGTAAGACTAAGTAGAATCATCCTATAGGTTCCTGTAAGATCTTAAGCAGGATCCTGGACAGGATTTTGTAGGATCTTGGAAGGACTAAATACAATCATTCTATAGGTTCTTATAAGATCTTAAGCAGGATGTTGGAGAGGATTAAGTACAATCATCCTAAAGGTTCCTGTAAGATCTTAAGCAGGACGGTGGACAGGATTTCGATGTATCTCCCTAAATCACACCTTTTAAAAGACACTTTTTACTAGGAATGATTCCTATTTAATTACAATGAATAATTTGGCAATCATGTCTGTGTCTGAAATCAGTGAAAATCTATATCCTCTTTCAAGTTTCATTAAAGTCAAATCATTTCTGGTAGTAACACAAGTAATGACAGTTCCAGTCAATGCCACATGTTGGCACAGGCCATATAAGGGAGTAACCCCCACTGCGACCTTCCAAAAAACATAATAGAGATTCCAACCCTCCAGTTTTGGCTGGAAACCTCCCGTTTTTGGCAAATATTTCTGGCCTCCCGTTTTCGCTCAATATTCCCCCGGTTTTTCAAACTCTTCCTTTGTTTGTTTAACCAGTCTTTTTAGCACAATTGTTTGTTTTTTTGGGGGGGTCTCTCAGCCATTGTTACCCTATGGCACCTGAGAATGAGCCTGCAATAATTTTTCCCAGGGGCGCATGCCCCTGGAGCCCGCTAGAGGGTTGCACCTTAGGTAAGCACCTATGCCTCTCTTAAAACCTCCCTTTTCTTTAGTTGACAGGGTTGAAATCTCTGGAAAAAGCTATTGCACCAGCTTCATAAACTAGGATTTAATTACAGGCATGTTAGGATCATATGGGTATGGTAAACTCGCACCACACAGGCACCACACCACTGTGGAAACCCTGCTAATACAGACAGAATTCAAGGGTGTACATGATAATGAAAGTTGACTACCAAAGGTTACACGACTCGGGTTCATTCAGACCTTCCAACCCCCCCCCCCCCCCCCCCCCC